ACACTAATACAGTCAAAAGTCGTTAATTCGGACACCCATAATCCGGACCTCAAAGCTAAAATCTTTCTGCGCATGCGCCGCGTTGACGCATGCGCATAGGCGTTTTACGCGTGGGCGCAAGACATTTACGACTGCGCATATGCGTCTGCGCAAGGGCACAATACGTTTTCGCGTGCGCGTTTAATGTATAACAGACGGTATAAGCTAAAATTATCTATTTCAGTTAATGTTGATGATTGCGTTGTTCCTTAATCTTCGAATTGGATCCGGCTTATTATTTTTTGCAGACTGTAAGAGCAATTTTATAAAAGTAAGCTTGAACTTTCGATTATGTCAAATAGAATTTCCGATGCTGGAGCTCCCAAAGGATCTAGAAAACGAAAGTATGTTTCGATATCCATCAAACAAAAAACGAATTGCTACAAAAAATGGATAAAGGCATATCCTTTGTTTATCTAACCGTTCCGAAATCTGTTTATCAATTTCACGCTGCTCTGCGCGGGGGGGCGGACGTTGCGGCGCGCAATGAACTGGAAGTTGATCTGTCAGCACTATTGTTATCTTCAGGGCAGATGTTTTTATTTTATTCGGCTTATAATTCCTTACTAAATGTAGTATTTAATCTCGATGTACCTTCTTTGATATGATTTAAATCAAATTCCTCGTCGTTATAAATATCACGAATACAAATCAAATAGTTTTCTGGTTGCAATTTTCTAATTTCGGCTATGCGTAAGGTATGCTTTACGCATGCGCGCGTTGAAAGAAATGTTTAATAAAGTAAACAAATAAATATTAGGCTTCTTTTTTTGTAAATTTTGATACCCTTTACATCATAATTGCTCATTATTTTATAAATTACGGTTTCATATTTTTAATTTTATAATTTCTGCATGCCATCTTACCAGATTTAAACTGATGATCTATAATCCGGAAAAAGCGATAATCCGGAATCGCCGAAGTTCCGACGAGTCCGGATTAAAGACTTTTGACTGTAGTATCTTCTTATATAACTATTGCCATATGCTGATTAAAACTGATGTCTAAAACCAAATATCTCATCTAAGGAAACCACTATTAAGGTAAAATATATAGTTTCTTCGCAGATGAATAAAAGTTTTTGACAACTTATCTGTAACAGCGATAAGTCATTAATACAAACTTACAGCGTATTGAAAAGATATAACAGTATCAGAGATACAGTGAAATAAAACCCATTCCAGAAAAATAAGTCACAAATACCTAATAGGCCTTTTGGAAAAAATAAAGTCTTCCTACTGTAAATTATTTTTAATAGACCATGGTGATATAATAGACATAATATCATAATGAACATCTACCATTAGTATACTGAATAAGAAGGCTTAATATAATAATTAAAACTGTGATTTCTTAATTTTTGACACAGCACAGAATGAAAATTTATCACACTGCATTCATAGAGGCAAGTCTTCAGGTACTGAAGTTGCTAGTATATAGGCTAGTCATATAAGATGTAAAAAGTCTTTCTCTCTCATACAACACTTTGAGAGGCAAGGTTTGATTGATTTATAACACAGAACATCTTATCTAGCAATGCACAGAATAACTCATATTATCAATTTCATTTTGCAAACATTTATATGGTACTTAAATTTACATCGCAAAATTATGCATTATTAATGTGAAATTATAAAGTTCAAATTAATCAGAAAGTTTTTTTTTTCAAACTTTTAGAGAGCATTATAAATTACTCATATTGCAATTCTATATGTGCATATACTTGTTTCTACAAAAGAAATTTCATAATTATAGCTGCTAGTGTATAAGCATGACAGGAAATACAATTTGTTCGATAACAACTTACACACAATATGGAAATTCAGATAAATGTATGTGTTTTATGATAATACTGACTGCCCGGTTTATTTCCCCCCCATCATTCTATAATCAAAATACTTTGAAAACCATATATAAGTTCTCTGCAAAGCCATTCCTTCAAAAGCAATTAGATCCCATCCTTTTTGCCATTAACAACATAACCTATTCACATAATTAATTTTCATTTTTCCGACCCCATAGAAGTATTCATCCTAAGACAAATAACCTTAAGCACCTAGCAACAATTAATTTTCAGTTCTCATCAACTTGAACAGGCCCTTTGACCAATTAAAAAAACACATGTATGAAAGAAAAAAAAAACCCACTTCCTCCGTACACGACTTTTTTTAAGCAACTCCGTTCAACATTTTATATACAATCAGACCAAAAGGAATTTTTGGTGTTTTATCCTTATTATGATTTCATTCTTGGCTTAAAACAGTGGCTGAGCAGTAAAGTCGATGAACACTGGTAGTTCGGTCCGAGGCCCACGAACGGGCTGGCTGCATGGGTGTTTTTCCCATGTGTAACATGTATACGAGCCAGTTTCCCTTAGAAAGTCCTCCACGAAGGCATCCCTCCCCTTAGGCAGATAGCCCTAGTATGCTTTGCCATGATTAAATACACCACACCACATTCTTGGCTTAAAATACAATACCCAGTTGTCAGATTATAGTTAAGAGGAAGGTGTTATTTTTCTAATGAAGGGCAATAATTCCAATCCATGTTTCTTAAAAGTTTTGAAAATTATGATTTAAGCATTTTTTTTATAGGTTCCAGTCAACCACTTAAAACAGATATGGTGCTTGCCCGTATGACTTTTTGACATAAGTAACCAGTACAATTACTTTTCAAATTTGCTCGGGGCAGAAACCGAATGTTGCTATGCACCACTATTGGACCATGCATAAAAATACATTATGTAGTTCTTTTCTACCATGATTTATTACATAGCTCTCTCCTCCCATTAAACTTTCATATTAGTGCTTTATTATTATGGTGTTTATCTGCATGGCTATGCTTATGAAATACATACCAATTACTTGAAATGTGCAAATTTCATAGGATATTCTTAAAAATCTGCCGTATGTTTTAAGAAATTCAGCCTAAATCATGAGAGAAGAAAGGTGTACATCCACATTCCTGCTAAGTAATTAACTTAGGAAAATCTCATGAAGGCACAATATCTTGTACACATTCCAATTAATGTCTCATTTTCTAGAATTCAAGTCCCAAAAGCTAATGAGAATATGAGTGGGGACAGAAAGAAGTCCTTTTGGATTTGAAGTATTAACACTTTTGTCATACATGCAACAAAACACACACACAAAAGGTTGTGTTAGCATGTAATTTTTCCAGCAAAGGTGGTGAAGAAAGAGATGAAAATGTGTTACTCGGTGTCACTTTAACCAGGTCTACAGTACACTAACCCAGAAGCAATAAACAAAACACTAGATAAACCACACATAAATTGCACTTTTCATAACAAAAAACAGCATACAAGACATATTTTCCTATTTCAATAAATTGAATTCTTCAATTTTCCAACTTCCGTTTCACTGCTAAAGATACAGGAATACACACACACACACATACATATGAAAAACGGAGGAAGGAGGAGTAAAAACATTGTATAAACACTGAACAGTAACTAACAAGAAATTTTCATGAAACGTAAGCAACTCCAGGCATACAATTCTTAGTTTTTTTTTTTTTAAATACATTAAATATGGAGGAAGTATAGGCAAGGAAGATTACTCATACCTGCAACTCAATATCCTCCCCTCCCCAATGGGAAGATATAAAGAGCTCATTGAAATTAAGCACTTTTTGCTAAGATTGGTTAAAATCAAATGCAAATCTTGCAAAAAATGTCAAAATTGCTCAAATTATATAAAAAAAATTAAGCAATTTTTCTGAATATTGAGCATTAAATATATAAGCCTACAAGCATTTATTTTGATTCTAACAAATTATTAAAGAGGGGCAATAACCTTTCTAAGAGCAATGGAAACTAAAAGTACTAACTGGACAGAGCCATACTGAAATCAAGTAAATTAATTCAACTGTCAGCTTAAATTTCTTCAAACGAGAACATAAAATTCAATTAAAAAGTAGGATAATTTTAGAACTAAAAATGCAAAAATAATTCATGCTAGAATTTGGCACATTCAGATATTTACAACTGTTGAAAAAAATAATAAAAGTGAAAGACTGTATATCAGTGGCTTCCTTTCAATACAGACAAAAGCCAGACAATGTATTAACACAAACTTCTACATTAATTTTTGAACATACACATACTCTAAAACACAAGAGATTTCAGTCAACACACTTTTACTACGCCTCATAGACTCTTTAGTTTCTGAACAACAAAATCAGAGAAAGTTCATTAAAATACTTTTATTTCTGTCTGAACATAATATATATAATGCATATGAAAGCACACACACAGACAAATTTTTATAAAATTTTAGTTTGTCTAAACATTATGCATAAATGCATATATACAATATTACATATGTACTATTTTTTAATACCTTCAAAATATTAAACAAAATTATGAGTGGGATATAACCTAGGCACCAGGTACTTCCATTTCTGCTGCCTAAAAAGACACACTGAATATGATAACAGTAACCAGTAATTAAAAAAAATATAATGAACATTATTTAAAACCAGAATGCCCAAATTATTGCACTTAAGATTACATAGATAATATAAAAAATAGTAAAAACAGTTTAAAACTGATTAGCCTAACAAGTTTGAGGTTGACAAAAAGGCAGCAGGAATGGAAACTTTGGAGTCAAATGCATTTCCATAATAATATTTCAAGAGGGAGACACCATAATAAAATTTCACAAACATACTTAACATATTTATAATACATTTATCACCTTCTAATATGATTGTACAAATATTAAATAAATATGCAAATATATTATATATGCTTATGCCATTAATATATTTTATGTTACTATGTAACTAGTTAATACATTAACAGGAACAAGAAAAATGTTAACAAAAGGAATGCTGTGTTTGTTTTCATATGAAATTTTTCACACTTGTTAGGATATAAATCTTGATCTATAACAGCAATGTTAAAGTATGATAAATAGGCACCAATAATAAAGCAGGAATCACAACTATGTACATTTTATTCTGTTCAATATATTTACACTTCAGCTTTACATAATCCTTGGTTTCAGGATGTGTACAACCAGAAAGCAGGTTAATCACAGGTAAGAATCTCAGTCGAAACAGAGGACCTATTCATTTCTTAAATAAGCCAGTTTTAAGTAGCGCAGATAATTCACTTTAAACAGTTTTCTAAAATTTTATACGTTATAAAAGTTAATGGCTTTACCATGACATTACAGTGACCAATATTTTTACAGACAAGCTATTTCCTATACTATCAGTTAAAAACATTTCACTTAACAGTAAACAATGAAGCATTTTTCAGTTCTGCACATGAAATTACAGCCTTTGATTATGTATTTACACAGTTTCTAATACAATACCAGAAGATTTTGTGAGCCTTAAGGTAACCTAGATGTGCATTTTATTGATATTCAATACAGTATATCATCTTGTCAAACAATCTAATACCAAATGGAAGGTTCACAGCATAAGCCGCATAACTACAATGAAAAGAGAAATAAATACCTTGGCAGGAATAACAGTATTTCATTGGTTTGAATAATTAAATGTTGTTTTCAAACTTTTGTGATGAATTACAGTGCTTTATCTGATATATCCAGATATAGCAATCATTTATGATAGTACTATATGGGCATAGACTAGTCCTTACCTTTCCAAGCAACAAATAAAGCAGTCCATTCTTTCATAAAAAGAACTGATTATAAGCAAAGCACTCTGAATTTTATCATGTTTTCACCATAATTCAGCCTGCAATTCAAACAAAATTACATGTAAACCTAAGAAGCAGTGCAATTTTAAGCCTGAAGCAGAAAAGAATTATATTATAGGAAATTCAGCTCAGAACGATTATCAGCTATCAAAGGGAGAGCAAAAAGAGCACTGAACACATACATGAGTCTAATCGAGTGGCATTCTTAAAGCAAAAAAAGGCGATATTTTTATGTACATACAATATAAAACAAGAAAAGTATAAGTCTCCAGGAAGTTTTGTCAGAAGTGAAACATCATAAGGACAATTATATAGCAATTATTACATAACTCTGATTCAGATGAGGCTCAAACTTGGAAATGTGCACTTAAGTATGTAACTATTCTACTTAAATTAGCATAGGATCTAGACAGAACAGTGTTAGTAATAAAATATCAATTCAAGGCTTCTAAGAGCAGACGTTTTTCATAAAAATGCAGACATACTTTTTATCAGATTAATCAGTATAAGAGAATAAGCATTTACTTACGAACGAACAGTAGGAAAATTAAAAATGAAAGATTCTTTCATTGTAGAGAAGCGAGAATTTCTACTTACAAATGTGGTACCCGGCAATAAAGCTGCCAGAAATTTACTTTTCAATTTAAGTTAAAAAGTAAATTTAAGTTATTGCCTAAATGGCATATTTCACACGGTAGACTTTGACAAGCTCAAACAAGGAAGATCTCAAGTCTAGCAGCACTGAAACAAGAGAAACTCTAAAAGACCAACAGTAATGTGAAACTTACCATGAAAAAGGAAATACCCGATGATCTTAAAATATACTTTAAAATATAGCAAACTTTTCATTTTATTTTCTCATAAGACTTCAGTGATGAAAAAAGTGAAAAACATGGTTTTGGTAAATTGGTTAAATGCAACCTTAATTGAAATGTGCAAACTAAGCAATTTGATACTTTTTTTAGCATACTGTATTTTCTACGCGGTTACTTTTATGACATATATTTTGTTTTGCAAGATTTAACAGATCTGAGTTCCAATAATGATAGAAAAACTAACAAAACAGCTATCACATTATTATTATTTTTTCAATGTTTCAAAATAGTGCTAGGTGAAGTTATGCCACTTGTATTTTGAACCTATCAAACTAAATGTAATAAATATTCATAAAGCAGCAGGGAAACATCACTTGGCCTAGCCCTGATAAGTAAACCTTTTTTAAATATTAACTTTTTAGTTTAAAAAAATTAATTTACAATCTTAGATTGATTTTATATATCACTGAAACTTCCAAGAATAAAGTAAATATCACACATTGAAATATTCAAGAACAGACAATTCAGGTAAAAAAAAATATATATGCTAGTTATGCAGGTAAGACAAAAGGCCATAATATGCACATAAAAAGTTTACCATGAAAAAATATTTACCTAACACCTACATACTCAATCCAGATCACCGAGATCTTTCCCAAATGCAATTTACTTGAAACAGGTTTTCAAAATTTCAGAAATTATTTCTGGAATTATGGAATGTTTAATGAGTCAGATAATATCTTTATTTGCAATGGAGAAAAAAGTACGGTTTATTCTAGCTTTTCTTTTTAATCATACACAGTGATGTGATTGTAAAATCTACTTCAGGCTAACAAACAAAGCAGAATATTTTAAGAATGAAACAGGGTATGGCAGCTTGCTTTAAAATGTTGTTGTTAAGAAAATTAAAATACTTTTAGTGCACATTTTTTTAATAATTATATTCAGAAATTAAATTATGACTATCTGAATTTGTAATTTTGCACTATCAAAAAACAGCCATCATTATCAGCATTTATTCAAGCCACTTCAAATGCTTTCTTTCATAAAATATTATGGCTGTATTAGTCAGATTTCTAAATTGTAAAAGTCAGATTTCTAATTTCATTTAAAAATGTGGTATACTTTCCTTCAGAAAGAGGAAAAAATTTAATTTATAATAATTTTTTTATACAATGGGGGAAAAATGCAGAACAAAACTCAATGAACTGTAGCTTGCTGAAATACAAGTTGAAAATTCCATATTTGTTACTTAAAATAAGGTTTCACCAAGGCCTAGCTCTTCATATTTTGGAAGATCTTCAAATTATCCCATTATTTCTCATAATCTTGTTCTTATCAAATGATATATATATATATAAGAGAATCTGTCAGGAGTGCCTGAAAGTAAGTTATGTCTATGGGCTTTGACACACAGGCTTTGAGTTTTTTCACTAAAGATTTGACTTCTTTTTACAATTTTAGATATCTGAATTTCATTATATATATATTTTTTCTTTTAAGCATTGCTTAATTTTTAGTCCAAAGTATAGTACCATTGTAGCACAAAAATTTCAGTGACATTTTTTATTGTTTGTTCTGGTGGTATAAAATCTAAACACAAACTACAGAAACTATCCTCATCTTTTTGTAAATAAATGCACAAATCTTAGTAAAACTGCATTCACAGAAATTTTAAGCTAACTATCAATTTGCAGTAGTATTTTGAAAAAAATTGGTAACATTTTGCTTTGGTAGTAGTCGGGCACAAATAGATTCATTTCATTCAACATACGGACCAAAAACTGATAGTTATTTCAGCTTTGTACAGCAGAGACTCCTAGATGTAACTTCAGGAACTGAGGCACCAATCACAACACTGCATATATCTTAAATCTAATACAAATCACTTTTATGATTCAAAACAGATCACAGCTATTATTATTTTTCATAACTGATGAAACTATCTAGGCCTTAAATGATTTTCTACCAGACATACAACCACTGTCTAATAGTTAAGTTTGATAATAAAGAAAGTACATTCCTAGGAATTTTCAGGAAAGTCTGTATAAATATTTTTATAGAACAAAAATTAAGCTACTTTTTTTTCCCCTTTCTAGAACATGAAACCTGTACAAAACACAAAATAAACTCATAACATTTTTTAAAAACTACATCGATAAAGGAGGTCTCATTGTTTGATTTGATTGTAATAATGATTCATTACAAAAAATATATACATATATACGTTTTTGGTCTGCCATCCTAAGCTGGCAATCTGTACATCAAATGCTCATAAACGAAAAGCGAGAAACTCGCTTTCTACGCATTTTCATTCTCTACATCACACTAAATACATAAATAAAGTAAAGCTTGACTAGATTAAAATGTTTCTTGATAGAAAATAATGTATTATCGCATAGTTTGTATACAAAATAGATCATCTTTAGCAATGCAATTACATTTCAAATAAAAGTTTCTATCAACCATTTCATATTGAAGCAAAAGAAGTCTTTCTAGATCAAAATTAATCATGTTCCTTTGTTTTTAATTAAAAATACGAAACATTGATATGTAGAAATTATAAATACACAGTTTCTTACAGCAAAGACAACACATATCTGTACAATGTGAATGAAACTTAAATGCTTTTAATTTTGATTTTCATAGTTCAACTGATACAAGTTGCCTATTATACAGTTGAATAATTATTTGCTAAAATCTTAATAACATGAATCTTATCCTAATTAATATGACTCAAGAAGAAACTGGGAGATATGGGTTGCAATATTATTAATAATTTAAATAATAAATTCCAAATACAAAATCCCCCCCTCCACACTCCAAAACAGAGACTTGAAAAAACTATGCTAAGAAAATTGACAAATTGTAACTATGTAAAAATACATACCAACTTCATGTCTTTTTAACCTTTTGCAAATAGCTGCTGTGTAGATGCAACATACAGGAATCTACTTTAAAAGATGATTGATGTCCAAAAGTATCAAAATAAACTTCAGACTAAAAGATGTCTGATGCATACTTGTGTACAGCATTCTGTATCTATTATAATGTATGTAACGCAATTTTATAAATGCTCATTCTAAAAAATTAGACTGCTTTTTTTTTTTTTTTTTTTGGGATAGAACTATGTACACCTGTCATTACCTCCTAAGTCCATTAGTATAATTAAGTTTATGCTTTAGTCCCCTATCCATGAGCAGAAAATGTTTTACTTGCATTACAACTTTAAGAAATGAAAGCACAATAAGCAGAAAGATTAACTTATGTAGGTAAAGTGTTTTACTATTGCAAAAGACTTTGTTTTTATTACAGCAATCAAATAGCCATACAAGTTAAATATATGAATTAAAATATAAATGGAATCAAATATTGTCTAGTAGAAAGGATAAGTAGAAGTGCTTATTCTTATGAAAATAAATAAACAGAAATCTTAAGACAGTAAAAATGAATTTAAAGAATCCAATGATCTGTATTTTCAACTGCATAATAATATAAAGCAAATTTAAAGCATAGAATGAAATATTTACACTTTAAAAATTCATGCAAAGAAAGATTCAAAAGTGGAAAACTACCAGAAGACATTTATCAAGAATAGGAAAATGTTTCAGAAAAAGATTAATGAACAGAGGTAAAATTTATACTAACTTTAATAAAAATTGTAACTAAGTCCATAGCCACATAAAAAGAATGACTGAACATTTTAAAAGATTTTGACACTTTTCTATAAACTAGGATTAAGGAAGAAATTCTGCCACCTTTTACAGCAAAACCTTTAGTAGCAATATCTATCATTTAAGTCTTAGCAGCACAATTCCTTGACTATTGCAAAAGGTTAAAAAGCATATTTTAAATTAGAGATGAGGTATTTTTGAAACTTTGCTCACCTCTCATCATTTGAAGTTTTCAAATCCTAGCCTATAAAATAATAAAACATTTTAACTATAAAATTTGGAAAGATTAGCTTCAGTAATTCCAGTATTAGAACTCATTATAAAAGAACATGACTACTGCAATTTCAGTACATCTAGATCACCAATATCACTTTTAATTTCAAGAAGAGAATTTAGCATGTCATCATTAGAGCTTCTCTGTGTTCACTCATATAATTATTTCCCATTTCTTCTTGCTTTGATTTATATAGATTCTGGAAAAATGTAAAAATTCTGAAACATTACATAAATGTTTTTTTGAAAATTTTATTGAGAAAATGAATTTCAGTTCTACGAGATTTTTAATCATGTACTTTTGTTACAGAATTTCATTTGTATTGTCTTAATAAATAGAGATGTGGGAGATTTTTGAACAAATTCAGATTCCAAATTTTGTTTTAATTCATAATTTTAGTGTTAAGTAAAAACGTTTTTCTTATTCTTATATATGAAAGATTTGAGAACATTTTAGGATTTGATTTCAAGAAAATTTATAATTTTCCCCATCTACAATTTAAACTTATAAATCTGACACAAATTAATATGTATTAAATATTTTCATTTTAATTGAATAATCTAAATTTAAAGAAGGAAATTTAAGAAGTATACAGAAATCTACGCATGTACAATTTATGTGCAATTATCCAAAACATAGTCTCAAATGGTGTTACCATTCTATATTTAAAAGGTTTCAAATTTATGCATAAAAGAGATAACAGTTACACAAATTAGTAAAGAATATCAAGTTACGATTATATTGAATTAACAGAATGTTAAATAACCAATTTATAAGTTTGCACATATTAGAAAAGATTCACTATATAATGGCGAATAAGTTGATTCCTTATACATAAAAGTATGTTTTTTTTTATTATCTATTTATTGAGTTTCAATAATAATTTAATATAAATGTGCTATCAGTTGTAGCCACTAAACTTAGCAATCATACTTTGATTTACATTAATTAATAAAATAACAACTGCCAAAAGGTTACACAGACAAAGCAATAATAAAATATTTTATGCATTTTTACTATAACATGCAGTGATGATACTAAAAATTCATACTCCCAAATTCGGATAAGTAAAACAAACTTCAGTAAAAAATTGCAAGATGGGACAGTTATAATATGACAAGACAGTGAATAAGAAATCAATGTATCAAGTACTGACTAATTGCCCAGTTTTCTCTTTCAAAATTTACATCACCAACATAAATGTTTTATTATGAAAATTATATGATAATGAAAAATAATGCATATTATTTGCACATATAACACACATACTAGAGTATCTAGACTTAAAAGGAAAGAAATAAATAGAAAAGAACAATATAAATATACATAAATACATATACATATATATATACACACACACACAAGCACACAAAACTCTTATTACAACATAGTTTGCACTATCAATGTTAGTTTAATGTGTGAATTTAATTCTCATCAATCACTGCTGCATTTAAGCCTCTTAACCCTCCACTTTCATCACCAGAAGCAACATTTTTCAAAACATTGTTTACAAAATCAGCAGAGCATCCAGCTACTTTAATCACAGCTGAAAAATACATAAAAAGATTCAAAATATATCATACAGCAACAAATTATAAAAGAACATAACTATTAAAATAATTAAGGATCATGTAGCAAGACAGCAAACAAACATCCAAATAAATTGGCAATGTTAATACAGTACAAAGTCCGTAATCCGGACGTTCCTTATCCGGACCTCAAAGCCACAAACTTTTTTTTGTACGCTTTATGCATGCGTGCGTTGAAAGAAATGCTTAATAAAGTAAACAAATAAATATTAAGCTTTTTTTTTGTAAAATTTGATACCCTTTAGATCATAATTGCTCTTTATTTCAAAAATTACGGTTTCATATTTTTAATTATATAATTTCTGCATGCCATCTTACCAGATTTTAATTGATGATCTATAATCCAGAAAACCGTCTAATCCGGAATCGCCGAAGTCCCGATGAGTCCGGATTATGGACTTTGTACTGTACTATATAAGATTTTATTTCAAAAAGTTTAAGAGATTTAGACCACAGATTGGCAGAAAGAAAATTACTAGGACCATAACAGTAAGATGAATGTTACAGTCCAATATTTTCAGGAAGCTTCCTGTCTTTATTTTCATTTCTGCTGAATTAGATCCTATATACACAGCTATGCATATCTGAAGAGAGCAACTGTAACTTCCTCAAAATGTTGGACTTTGCAATTATCAGCTAATCTCCCCCCAAATGGCAGATAGTGAACAATTACAAATGTAACCCAGTCCATTAATCTATACAAGGCCGGATGTGGTGGTCTCTTTATTATGGAGGCACCTAATAGGTGGGGCACCATCGTTTTTCCTATGAAGGGACGGACAGTTACAACCATGCCTTCTCCGGGATTTGAACTCAGGCCCTTCAGCATCACAGTCAGCTTCCCTGACTACCATACCGACTGGGTAGCTTAACAGCTAACCTTAATGTCAAATATTCCTGTTGCCATAAACATGACTTTAATAAACATAAGGTTATGCAAAAAAATTATATGAAACACTACACTTTTCATATACCAAAATTTTCTTCAAAAAGCCCAAGTACTAAAGATGCACACACACACTTTTTAAATGACATGTGCAATAATCAGTATCACTATTGTATTACTATTGTAAGTATATTACTCTATCTTAGGATGGTGACGGATCTGCATAATCTACGAGAAATTAAAATTTCAATGCAAGGCATGTTTGTGTAATATAAACACATATTTAATGTATTGTAAAGTTGTTAATTTTTGTTCATCCAAAAAAGCTGCATACACTAATAATTACTAAATGATGTTATAACTACAGACTACATATGACAAAACAACTTGTGATTAAGAAAATATTCAAATAACATATTTGCATAAACAGAAAACATTTTTTAAGGTGAAGATTGAGTAAGTTACATAATTACTTTTTTTTTTGGCACAGTGTTTGATGTCCATAGAACCAGTCCCTTCAAACCTTAACCCCTTCGCGACGGGTAGCGCAAACGCGCGCTTATCGCGGAGGCCGGCAGTGTCTTACGCAAGCATCTGTCCAGGGCCGGGGGCTTTTTTGCTATTAAGCCTAAATCCATGAAATTTCCGAAGTATCAACGCATTGTTTAATAATGCTCTATAGAGTATTTAAACGGTTTATGCTTTATAGATATTTTTATATATACTTTAATTACCTTATTTCTTGTTTAAATGCATGTTTTACACATTTTATTTTCATTACTTACCATTTTATGACTTTTAACATTATACATCGAAAACTAAATATATTACTTAAAATTCTCTTTTCGTATGAAAAATTTGAAAACAGGGATCTACACACAGTCCTACGTTACATTCCTTGCACTCATAATAACTCATTTGCCGTTTTGGAGGATTTTTCCAGGAATGTGAACAAACGAAGCATCGTCTCATTTTTCTTATCAGTCTCTTCTGAACAAAGTTTTGGAAAATGTTTTTCAGTTAATCTGAGCGGATTTAATGATTCTGCTGATCTGTTTCAGAATCAATATCTGAAATATTTTGCATCATTTCTGCTATTTCATGCTCTGTTAAACATTTTCGACGCTTCGACATTGCAACGGTAAAAACAGAAAGAATTCACGTTTAACAAGATCTAATTATTTTCTAAAAACTGAACTGCAAACCGAAATACCCAACGCTTTAGTGAAAATAAAACTTCTCTACTTACAATAAACAACTACCACGTGCGAATTTAAAGAGACGTCATAAATCATGCCATTCGGAAACATTTATTTCCCCTTTTGTTTAAATAATCAAAAACACGTGTATGTGAGTCATGCTTCTCTCATTTCGAGTAGAAGGTCTAATGTACATGTATCTGAAACCATATGGACATACAGTGCCATCTTGTGGCAGAAATTATAGTTTTTAAAATGTTCCAGGACACTGGCACAAATACGTGACAGTCCGGGCTGAACGGGAAAACGCTCTGGCACGCCTGCGTGTCGGCCGGGAAGTGAGTGTGTTCGTTGCTGGCATGTAGACGTGACAGTCGTCGCGAAGGGGTTAATAATAATTTTACATAAACCAATCAAATTTTTGGTCCAGATTTTAGTTCCTTTAAACAGTACTTAATTTTTATGCAAAATTATGAGTTGTATTGAATTTTAATATTAACTGATTTCAACAGCAAGTATACAATCTAGTGTCAGATCAAATAACTTGAGTCTGGCAGTATTACAGATGTGAAAAAGATTAAGTTATACTTGATAATAATACTGAACGAAATTAGCAGTTAAGGCAGTGAATTCTAACATTCTGGACTTCTACAAAGTTTTCAATGCACAACTTTAGTGGTTGGACATAAAAATGGAAACATGTCCTAAAATGCACGTTTGAAATGAAATGTTTATTCTTGGTGGTGCTGATGTGTTTGCTCACTAACACCCCCTATACAACATCCTCAATATGTTGCAAGTGTCACTCGTTATCGAGACAGTGTTCCATGCAGTTATGAGTGCATCATGTCAGAGCTAAATGAACTCGAACGTGGGCAAATTGTTTCATATGGTGGGTGTTTCCATAACCAAGATTTTTAACTCATGCAGGGAAAACTGCATTTGCTAGATAACAACACAGACAAAAAAGTGTGTTGAGTGATCATGAAAAATGATCATTAAAGAAGATTGTGAAGAAAATAAGAGGACTACAGTTGCAAAAGTGACTGCTGAATTGAATGAAGCACTCGTAGACCCTGTCAGCACCAAAACAATATGAAGGAGCTCCACAAACAGGGTATTTCTGAGTGAGCTGCAATTCAAAAGCCACTCATCAGTGATATCATACTCTTTCCAAGGATGGATTTTAAATGCATCCATCAACTTAAATTCTATAAACAATGTTTATTTAAATTGTCTCCATAGCAAACGTTTGAAATTAAAATTACGATAATATTTTCATTTCGTTAAATTTTAAAAATGATTTTTTAAACAAGTGTAAATTTTAATTTATTGTTTTTCATATTACTGTTAGATAAAATTATTATTATTTAAATACTTTAAGAATTCTGAATATGTTTATACTCATACATTACTCTCTCATGAGTAATTAAGTTACGCTCAGCAATTTTAACTGGTAGGAGTTACTTCAATCTCAGAATCTTACAGGAATCTTTACTGTTCTGCCACTTCGAGACTGTTTAGGAGGTGCATTTTCTTCACTTACTTTCAATGTATCCTCTATAATATGGAGGAAGTATTCATTTTCGTTTGCCAGGATAAAGGCTGGTTTTTAGCTATTCAATTGTTACATCGACTTTTCCTTTTGTTTCAATAGTGGAATATTTTAGTGTCTATTCGGTCACCATAAATGGTCCTTCATAAGGAGGTTCGACTGACTTCCTTCTCTGTCTATATGACCGAAAACATTTTGTCAAGTTTTGTGATGTGAGGGTCTTGGTCTGATGAATTCCATCTGCTTTTTAAGATTATTAGCAATTACTTCTGGTGTTGTATGAATGGAACTTTTTGTGAAAAATCCACCAGATAGTTTTATAAGTTTCCATAAACCATTTCTTTTATTGCATGATTAGTATCTTCTTGTATTGCAGATCGTAATCCTAAGAGGATAGTTGGTAAAGTTTCACTCCAGGTTAGGTTGTTACGGGCTTTTAATGCTTCTTTGAGTGATCTGTGAAATCATTCTACTTTGCCATTGCACTGTGGATGGTAGGCTGTTGTAAGCTTGATACCACAGATTCTTGACAAGTTCTTAAATATTTCAAACGAAAATTTTGCTCCACGATCTGTTACTATTTTACAGGGTATTCCAAATCTTGTAATCCAATTGTTGTAGAAGGCTTTGGCGATGTTTTTGCCGAAGCCTTCAACAATATATTATTTAACAGAATTACTTCAACCCAATTTGTAAATCTATCTATAAAAGGTCAGACAATTATGTCGATATGAATTTTTTGAAATCTTAGAGTAGGTTCTTCATATTTTCTGAAAACTGATTTTGTGTGGCAAGAAACTTTCTTTTTCTGACAAGAAATACATGTGCGAGATCATTGTTGTATGTCTTTTTTTTATGTTCGGGCAAATGAATTTTGAAGTTATAAGCTATATGATGATTTCATTTCTGGATATGAAAATCGGTGAAAGTTAATAAATATTTTCATTCAATATTTCTTCGGTATATATGGCCTGATTCCTGTGGTTGATGTTCCACACCATAATTTTTTCCTAAAGGTAATGGATATTGTTTAAATTTTAATGAAATTGAATTTTGTAAATTTTTTAATTAATTTTTTAATTCTGCCATCAGTTTGGCTTTCCACTATTTCATCATAACTTCTGTTATTTCTTCTATTCTTGATAATGTGTCAGCTTTATACTACTTTCACCTTTAATATGTTTGATTTCTGTGGTCAACTGTGAAACATATTGTAATTGTCTGCACTGTCTGGTTTTTGTTGAAAGGCCTACAGTAGAGGCTTGTGATCGGTAAAGATGGCAAAATTTCTTCCTTCTAAAAGATGTTTAAAATGTT